TCGGCGCCGACTCATTCTCCCCAACGCAATATATTATTGTTAATGTGTTCATGCGATCGATTGCAAACAAGTGCCTGTAGCACAAGGCTAGAGAAAAATACAGAATATTAGGCTAAAATTGAAACCTGATATGATATATATCAGATCAAAGGTCCGATCTAGAAATCCGTCTAATCTAGATTGATCGGACGTCCGATCTAGAGTGAAGTGAGGTCAAGCGTCCGATCCAGAATCAAGCTGATCACTCTAAAGCAGACGTCTGTGATTTAGAGTGATCGGCTACATAGATTTAGAGTGATCGGCTTGATTTTAAATTGGATCTTTTACCTCACTTCAATCTAGATCGTCCGATCTAGAATCAGTCTAGATTGTACGGATTTCTAGATTGGACATGACATACCGTATTCTTTCTAATAGTAGTGCACCGCGACGAGCCGAGTTGATGGCTGCTTTACGGTTTCCAAGTTGTTCACAGAAGCTCAACACTCTAATCTCCCACAAGATCTCATCGTCAGCTACATTTTCCGACCCCACATCGATAGGTTCTGATAAGTGGTTCTCGAGATTTCGAGGAATTTAGGCGACGCTTAGGGTGCACTACTATTAGAGAAAATTCTATTCTTACCACAAAAACAAAAAACCCTGAGCGTTGCCTAAATTGCTCGAAATCTCTAGAACCGCTTATCAGAACCTATCGATGCGGGGTCGGAAAATGTAGCTGACGATGAGATCTTGTGGGGGATTAGAGTGTTGAGCTTCTGTGAACAACTTGGAAACCGTAAAGCAGTCATCAACGCGGCTCGGTTCACTACTATTAGAGAGAATACGGTATGTTACGTCCAATCTAGAAACCCGTACAATCTAGACTGATTCTAGCTAAAAAGATATGCACAATGGCCGGAAACTGTAATAAAAGTAATAGAATTCTATGAATCAAGTCGATTGACCAGATAGTGGATTTAGAAAGCAAGCAGATTTCTTTTTCTCTACAATTCTCTACAATTTCATTCACCAATTCAATCATGCATTTGGCCAAAGCTTTATCGAATTTTTTTACCTGTAAAGATCATCAACCTGCAGAAAATATTGATCAGTTGAATCTATGAACAAGAAAAAGTTGCACCTAAAAAAAAGGAACAAAAGTACGAAAAGAAATAAGCGCAGTTTTTTATGATCTAAGACGAGAGAGCTTTTTTTCCTTTCCAAAAAGGATCAAGAATATTATTGAGAAGACGAAAGAGTGAAGAAAAAAAATGAGAAATGGACGAAGAGAGCTCTCTTGCTCAATTTGGATCGCATTCATCCACCCTCACTCTTTCTTTAGGCAAAAGATACATTTGTGAGTGTCCTCTCTGTGAGTCTCTCCAACATGCAAATAGCAACAAACACAGAGAATCACAATGGAACACGCGAATGGCTTTGATTTGAAAAGAAAACAAGTCTCGGCTTTGCGATGGGATAGTAATTAGGAAAATTGACTGCAAGGAGGGTTTCGAATAGTAAAGCAAGACTAACATGAGCAAATTGAATGAATGAGCAAATTTGATTTTTGAAGCAACTTTTACTGTACTTTGTCAGCAAGTCAGTTAAAGTTAATTATTTTCAAAGGTCTATTATATTTGAATCTTTGCTTTGCTTTTGAAGCATTGATTTTAAAGCATTGCTTTTAAAGCATTCCTTTTGAAGCATTGATTTTAAAGCATTGCTTTTAAAGCATTCCTTTTGAAGCATTGCTTTTGCTTTGCATTGCTTTTGAAGCATGGCTTTTGAAGCATTGCTTTTGAAGCATTCCTTTTGAAGCATTGCTTTTGAACTTTCAGAAGCAATGCAAACCTTTCAAACCAATAACTTCTAAAGTTTCAAGCTATTAAATGAAACAAAGCGGTCAACGAGAAACTCTTCAAAGCCAAAAACTTAACTATAGCCGAATTCAAGAAGATTCAAGATTCATTCAAAAAAAAGTGATTCCTGTGCTCAAAAATGAAAGTATTTGGAGTGATTGTAAAGATAAAAAGATAAAAATGAGTGCGAAGATTCTAGAAGTTATGTGACTCGTCGAAAAACAAAAGTACAAGTAGATGTCGTACAAGTAGATGTCGTAAAAGGAGTTTCATGATCTTTTCTTAAAATCCTGCATACAGAAATGTTTTTTCTAAAACAAGATTACCGTAAAAACTTTAATCGAACGGGAGCGTCTCCACGGGAGCGTCGCGTCTTCTAAGTTGACTCTCAAATAAACGCTCAGATCTTGACATTAGTGCTTTTGTTTCTGCACGCTTTTGTGTCAAATTAAACTAGAGAAAATGGGTGATATTTCGAGATATAGCACTTATTTTTAGCATGAACCAGCACTTAGAAAAAGATGATTGAAAAGTAGCAAAAAAGTCGATTTTTCATCTGGTCCTCCTTGCGGTCCGGGTCCGACGTGGAGCTCGAACTTGTGAAGTCCCGCTCTGGAAACGAGCGCTGTACCACTCGGTCACGTCTGAACCGAGCTCAGTTCGCAAGAAGGCCACTAAGACCCACTGATCGCAAAGACACGGAGATTCGGGGCATAGGCTCCCCGAGATGGCAGCAGTTCTTCGTCAGGGCTTGAGGCCTTGAGGCCTCTAAGAAAGCTCAGGGTGACCCCCTGAGGGATCAAACCTGTGAGGTCTCGCTCTGGAAACGAACGCTATACCTCTCGACCACCGAGCTCGGTTCGCAAGAAAGCCACTAAGACCTAAATGACCAGATGAAAAATCGGCTTTTTTTTGCCACTTTTCAATCATTTTGTGCTAAGCGCTGGTTAATGCTAAAAATCTGTGTTATATCTCAAAATATCACCCATTTTCTCTAGTTTAATTTGACACAAAAGCGCTCAGAAACAAAAGCACTGATGTCAAGATATGAGGGTTTGTTTGAGAGTCAAATTAGATTACGCGACGCTCCTATGGGGGGCGCTTCTATTAGAGCTTTTACGGTATTCAAGCTTTAACTGAATATCTTTCATTTCTTTGATCTGTTTTAAGATATTCATCCTTTAACCAAATTGGCATATTGAGCACATTGAAAAACAGCAAGATCTTAAACTTTGTTTCTTTGCTCTTAAAGCAAGCCCAGACATCTGTTTCTGCGGCATCAAATTAAAATTCCTGGGCATCAAATTAAAATAGAGAGAATGGGTGTTTTTTTGAAATATAACACACATTTTTAGCATTAACCAGCGCTGAGAAAAAGATAATTGAAAAATGTCAAAAAAGCCGATTTTTCATTATTTTTCAATCATTTTGTTCTAAGCGCTGGTTAATGCTAAAAATCTGTGTTATATCTAAAAAAAACACCCATTTTCTCTACTTTAATTTGATACCAAAGCGTGCAGAAACAAAAGCACTGATGTCAAGATATGAGCGTTTATTTGAGAGTCAACTTCGACTAAGCGACACTTCGACAATAAGTCCATCACTGACCACTCTCATCATCGTCGGTTGTAATAAAGAATGTCGGCGTCTCGTTGATCGTAACCATCATCGAATATTTTCGTCTTGAGGTCGAACTTTTCAACGAGGATCTCATTTTTCCCTCAACTTCCTCATTTTGAACAAAAGTGAAGGGCAAAAAAAAAAGAAAAAAAGAAAAAACTTTACGTAAAACATATTCAATCATTTCCAATTTGCAAATTGCCGTAAAAATTCAATAAATCGGCAATGGTGCAGTTTCTTTTCGAGCTTTTCTCACTAATCTCTTTGTCTAGCCACTTTCTTTCCTAAAAGAAATCTAAAAGAAATCGACTTTCTAAAATAAACTTCTCGTTTTGGGCGTAGAGGACCCTCTTCTACTCCAAAAATTACGAAAAATAAACAAAGCTTCAAAGGAAAATACGACTCGTTGAATAAATGGTGTACAAAAATAAAAAAACCCGGCAAACAACAGAACCAACAAGCAGCAAAAAGCTCCTTCAAAAAAGTGATTTGGCTATTTGGTTGCATTGAAGCAGATGCGCCAAAATTATGGAATTAGCTCTAAATCGCTTCTCTTGGCCTTGGCTCTTGGCCTTGGCTCTTGGCCTTGGCTCTTGGCCTTGGCTCTTGGCCTTGGCTCTTGGCCTTGGCTCTTGGCCTTGGCTCTTGGCCTTGGCTCTTGGCCTTGGCTCTTGGCCTTGGCTCTTGGCCTTGGCTCTTGGCCTTGGCTCTTGGCCTTGGCTCTTGGCCTTGGCTCTTGGCCTTGGCTCTTGGCCTTGGCTCTTGGCCTTGGCTCTTGGCCTTGGCTCTTGGCCTTGGCTCTTGGCCTTGGCTCTTGGCCTTGGCTCTTGGCCTTGGCTCTTGGCCTTGGCTCTTGGGCTTGGCTCTTGGGCTTGGCTCTTGGGCTTGGCTCTTGGGCTTGGCTCTTGGGCTTGGCTCTTGGGCTTGGCTCTTGGGCCTTTTTGCACATAATTCAATTTTGAATTCTAAAAACACCTGTAATACTTTTGAATAGAATTTGAAAACGTTTGAAAGGTTTTATCGAGAAAATTCTGGGGAATAAACTTTCTGAATCTTTGTTCCATAATTTTGGCGCACCGGTCACTGTTCTACTGATACTGTTTTTTTAATGTTATTTAGTTTCTATACCTGGTTCAATTGCTAATTCGAAAAGCTCTAGAAACAGCTGCTTACTAACTTTATCTTAAGTTTTCGGACATTTGATAAACGCCCCGCTCCTTTTGCCATTGGCAATCTAACTTTGAGCTCAAATATCTCGGTGTTGGGCTGTCCAATTGAAATACTTTTGGTATCATTAGATGCGCAAAGTCTTTCTCTGTCGATTGGTATAAAAAGTATTTAAATTGAACAGCCGAACACCAAGATATTTAAGCTCAAAGTTGAATTGCCGATGGCAAAAGGGGTGGGGCGCTGATGTCCTATCAAATCAAATGTCCTAGCTTATCTTGATGCTGTTTTCAACCATTTTGAACGCTCTATCGAGTTAGAGCTCATTTCTCTTATAATCACAAATGCAAACACTGCAAATCAAGATCATTAAATCCACGAACCGTATGGAGTGGGTTGTTGATTGAGCAGCAGCATAAACTCATACGCTTCATCTTGATTCAATGGATAGTACTTGGGCTTGCCGCGGGTTTTCGATGGAATCCGACGAAATATTGGTGCCTAAATAATAGCATTTCGATTCAATGAACACATTTCAACATCATTCATTCCAAACTCAAAGTGCTGGGTGCTCGAATTGAAAAATTTTTCAGCTTTCGGCAGCTACAATCTAACTTCTCTTAGGGGTAACCTATAGCCAGGAGCTCTTAAATGCAACTGAAACCATTCTCGTCGTCAGTTAGCATTCTAAAGGTCCAATAATTCCTCATTTTTCAGTGCTTTCATTCGTTTTTTGGTTCCATTCGATAACCTTGTTTAATAGCTATCGAATGAAACCAAATCTAGCCAAATCGGTCAAATGACTGGCGAGGAAAACATAAAAAAACGAAGTTTGCCTCAGGCAATGGGGACACTTTAGGGGCGGTACTTCAAAAGTATACTGAATAGTCATTGAATTTGAATTTGAATAGAATCAATTTATTCTTTAGTCTCTTTTTTTCTATTCTTGTTTTCAGTAGGTTTACTGTGTGTCATTTTGCAAATAAACATGTTCCATTGTCGCTTTTTCGCTTTTTCATGCTTACAAGGAAATGATCTCAGCTCAAAGTTCGGAATCGACTGGAAACACAATGCATAACATAGAATCGACAATGGCGAACAAAGCGCCACAAAAATTAGCCACTAATAGCCACGGGAACGCGAGGAATCTGGCATGAAAAATCAAGATTAGATCCAAAACTGATCCCTTTATAAGGCCTCTCTCGCTGCAAGCCAGAGGGATAAGGCTTCTCTGACTGCCGGGCAGCGATGAGCCGTGGCCTAGTGGATAAAGGCTTTGATCTGTGAAACGGCGGTCCTATGCCCTCGGGTTCAATTCCGCCTTGAAATTTTTTTGTTTTTTTTTTGCGATTCTTGGAACTATTTCTTTTTTAAAGCAAACTAAATTTTAATAAAATAAAATAAATTTAACATTTTTGCCTATTGTGACACTCTGCGATCAAATTTTTCAACCGAGAAAACGAGAAAATCAATTAAAGTTATTTTCAATCACTCATAAACAATTTGGAGCAGATCAATTTCCGAATTGTTGTCAGTTTGAAGTTTGAAGTCAGTCTGAATTGAAGCCGAGGGCCAAAATAGGAAATAGTTATAGAGAAGACTAAAACGCATTGAATAATATATAAATGACTGCGATTCTTGAAAGTCAACTTTTAGACCGGAGTACCCCTTTAAGTAGCAAGTTAGTCTTTCAAATCCATAAAATTAAAGAATTCATTTCTTTTCAAAAAGATTCTTTTCTTTTCTTTTTCATTTGCTGCGATGCATGCTTGAAGACGTTGCGTTGGCAGAAACGTTGGCAGAAAGGTAGGCGACGTCAAGCTCGTCCCAAGCCTTTTGGAGAGACTTTTTCAAAGAATCAATCGTTGAATGGGCTTTCGAGCATGCCTTCGCTTCTAACACTGCCCAAACTGAATAATCCAAGGGATTTAGCTCGGGGCTTGATGGTGGCCGTCGCGGAAAGGCATCAACGGTGGCAGAAAGACAAATTTTAATACATAAAAACAAAAAAACTTGATGTGGGCGGAATTGAACCCGATGGCCAAAATAGGACCGCGGTTTCACAGACCAAAGCTTTATCCACTAGGCCACGGCTCATCTCTGCCCAGGTAGAGAAGCCTTATAAAGAAATCAGTTTTGAATCCCAATTTTTCATGCCAGATTCCTCGCGTTTTCGTGGCTATTAGCGGCTAATTTTTGTCGCGTTTTGTTCGCCATTGTCGATTCTATGTTATGCGCTGTGTTTCCAGTCGATTCCGAACTTTGAGCTAAAACCATTCCCTTATTAGTAAGTATTGATATTGAATAAAGTATTGATCGTATTCATGCCGGTGATATAATAGATATAATAATATTATATCTATAATAATATTATATCTATAATATATTATATCTATAATTCATGATATAATAGTATTCATGCCGGTGCAGTGCCTTGAAATCACTCCACTCACCTCACCCTCCATCACCGTCGGGATCTCTTCGATTTTTACCATTTTCTTCTAATAATTTCACGCAATTGGGAAATTTCTTGCCAAATAAAGCGCTCTTGTTCACTCACCTTTTGAATCTCTTCTGAAGAAATCGATGTGGGAATTGGTTGCATTGAAAGGGCTCGCGGACGAGAGCGACCCGACGAGTGAAAGAGGCTCTAAAACCATTTTATTCGATTTCGTTTACTTGAACAATTTCATCAAATTAACTACCGTAAATACTGTAATAGTCCCCACAGCCATAATGATGGTGCGTAGTGTTGCGTAGTCCAGCTTTGGAGCTTTGGACGTCTGCGTAGTCTAGCTTTGGAGCTTTGGACGTCTGCGTAGTTTAGCTTTGAACGAGTTTTTCTCGACACTGGTTTATGCTACAATGCGCGCTTAGGTATCAAAAGATAGCCCTGAATTTCAGCTATTTTTTGATATCTAAACCCGCATTGTAGCATAAACCAGTGTCGAGAAAAACTCGTCCAAAGCTAGACTACGCAACGCTCCACACCGTCATTATGGCTGTGGGGGACTATGACAGTATTTACGGTAGTTTCCAGTCAAATTTTTTCTCTAAGAACATAGCTGACAATTTGATTAGCAATCTCTTAAAGAAAATAAAGAAAGAAAGAAAATATTCCCTTCTAGACTCACTGAGTATTTTCTAGTGCTAATTTGATTCCTTCTCTCGTAAATATTGCTTTAAAAGCTAAAAAGCTAAAACTTATCAAGAAAATCTTGATTTAAACTTAACAATTAGAAAAATAGCGTTCTTTTACTCTAAATTCATGTTCGATGCTTTAAAATCGAGTCTATATAGAATAGAATAAGAAAACTTTGGTTAATGTTGTCTGAAAACTTTTCTACAACTATTTCTACAACTTTTCTACAACTACAACTACAACTACAACTATTAGTCTTTACAATTTTATAAACGCCTTTTAAAAACAATGCAGCAACTAGCAAAATTTCTATTTGAACTATTAAAAAGTTTAATTGTTTCTCTGCAAAATGGCTTTTTGGCAAATTCTTGAAAGTAGTTGTTTTTTGTGGATTTTCAGAGGCGCAAAGGCGAGTACTCAAAGCTGCTCTGATGCTGAACTCCCAATTTGGACACTTTCTTCAAAACAAACCTATGTTGGTGTTAATAGAAAAAAGATAGAGCTCATTTGATTACATACCGTAAATACTGTAAGAGTACCCCAGCCCCATAATGACGGTGCGGAGTGTTGTGTAGTCTAGCTTTGAACAAGTTTTTCTAGACACTGGTTTATGCTACAATGCGCGCTTAGGTATCAAAAAATAGCCCTGAATTTCAGCTATTTTTTTGATACCTAAGCGCGCATTGTAGCGTTACAGTATTTACGGTAAGTCTTTAAAATTTGAAAACGATCCGTTCAGCGATTTTCTTTAAAACAATAATTGAAAATTATACGCAAAAATTCGTTTTTATTTTTATCGAGTTGCGCTTTGAGGCGAGCTTTAAGCTTTCTCTCAAAAGCCATTTTATAGAGAAATAATAGATCTTTTAATGGTTTAAGACGCAACAAATTTGGTAAAGGATTCCAGAAATAAAACTTTGAAAGAAATTGTAAAGACTTAGTGCACCAATCTAATAGCGTAAAGAACAATCCTTTCTAAGTGCAAGAGACGAAGAACCCCGGCTTTTTAAGCATATTATTCGGGAAAGCGAATCTACCATGAATAGGCTTAAAGGGGGGTATTAATCGCGGCCGGGTGACGATAAAAATTTTTTTACGGCAGCCACCTGTTTTTTTGTTTTAATATCGCTGATTTTATTATAAAAAGAATAAAAATCACCCGGCTAGAGTGATTTGATGGGTTTACAAATTTTTGGAGATGCTGCAAGGCTTGGAGAAAAACAAGATCGTCACTCATCAGACACCTCAGCTAAAAGGCACCTATTTGAGAAAACTAAAACCATAAGCGACCACAAATGAAAAAAGATCTAATTGTGTCAATCAAAGCGCTGAAGACGTCCTACGATGGAGGAGATCCAGTCACTTTTGGTGAAGATGCGCTGGAAATTGATAAGATAGGAAGCCGATTTGTACTGCTGTACTTGAGCCGAACTGCTGTACTTGAGCGAAGATGAAAGTGAGCAAGAGGAAGAATTATAGATTAACAATTTATTTTTATTACTTTTTGTGCTTTTTATTTTGTTTTTAAATTTATCTGCAACTAAAACTCAATCGATCTAGACTGTGCTGAGGTGTCTGATGAGTGACGATCTTGTTTTCCTCCAAGCCTTGCAGCATCTCCAAAAATTTGTAAACCCATCAAATCACTCTAGCCGGGTGTTTTTTATTCTTTTTATAATAAAATCAGCGATATTAAAATAAAAAAACAGGTGGTTGCCGTAAAAAAATTTTTATCGTCACCCGGCCGCGATTAATACCCCCCCTTTAAACTATTAAAGTTAAGGCGAGCTTTAAGCTTTCTCTCAAAAGCGATTTTGTAGAGAAATGATAGATCTTTTTAATAGTTTGGTTTTTAATATTAGGTTGATGCAAAAGTCTTTTTCATTTTTTTTCGTACTTCCGTTAAAAAGTAACAAATGCACGAATTGAACAACGGTTTATTGCATTCGAAAGGCCAATTATTTTTCTGCAAAATGACATTAAAACGAGTTTAAAATGTCTTATGTCTAGATTTTTTTTGAGAGCCTGAAGTCGGGTAGTCAAAAAAGGCGACGGCTCGATGATGCATTTTAGACGCTTTAGCTAAGGAAACCAATCTTGATGTTAATAAATAAAAGATAGAGCACAAAAAGTTAGATATTTTTTCAGATTTTCAGAGAAATTGATTCAGCCAATTTCTTTATAGAGGTTTTTATAGATTTTTATGAAAAACCCGTTTTCACTCTCGAATTTGCTTGAAAGTGAACCCAAATTGACTTAAAAAGATGGGAAATTCAACAATAAACACTTTTCATTTAGAGCAAACCATAGGTTAATTGATGACTTTGTTATTTTTCAAAAGAAGTACGAAAAAAAGGAAAAAGACTTTTGCATCAACCTAATAGTTTAGTTTTTAATAGTTAATAGATTTAGTCGAAACTTTCAAAATCCTCCGTTGTAAACAGATTAGCCCTTTGTTTATAGACTTTTTCAAATTCAAACCGCGGTCAGGGCCCAGAAGTGGCTCATTCCTTTTGCAAATTCCCTTTGCTTCCAATGCCTCTTTATCAAATTCATTTCCCGTTAGAGCCGCTAGATTATGGAACTTGCTCCCAAACGACATACGAGAAATTCAGTCGCTTTTCATATTCAAGAAACGTATCGATGCTTTAGATCTAGTGGCTCTTTGCCGTAAGTAATTGGCTTATTGATTTCAGTATGTATTGTATGATTAAGTATCACTGTGCATTTCTCTATGATTTCTTTCACTTTATCGTTTGAATAAAGTATTATTATTATTTAATCGGCTTAAAAGGAGAGGCTTTTTTTTTAGGCATGGTTTGGTATCGTTCATTTTATTTTTAATTTTAGCATTTCAACCCATAGTTCTTTATGATTGTCCTAAGAAAGAGTATTTTAATTATAAAATAGAATAGGTTCAAATGGTAACTGAAATTTTTTGAGAATTTGGCGCAACGTAACTTGGTAAAGAATTTGGTAAAGAAATCTTTTCGATGGAAGAAATTTGGAAAAAATTGTAAAGACTTATGCACGAATCTAATAAATCAGCTAAAAATGATTTCAATTTTAAGTTTTGACTTGAATTTTCTTTGATTTTTCCCCTTTTTTTTGTATAAACTCACACTCGCGAAGAAGCCTCCATGTGGAGTGTGACCCAAACCGAGTTGAACCTCGGTGTGCGATTGACCGTGCGTTTGCGAAACCAAAACGTTTGGTGCAATTGATTGCGAGTGCTAAAAAGTTTTGCGACGTCTAGAATTTATTCTTTTCATATTAGAAGCTTTTTTTTTTTAAAATAATAACCATGCTCAAAATCATTCCCATTCCCAGCAATTGATCCGCACTTACGCGATCCGATAGAGCCACCTGACCACATTTGAACTGTTTTAGGGAAATTTTTATGTTGTAAATCGATCATGAAAGTTTAAGGAACTTTCCCACTTTTTGCTTGGTCACGGATTTAATAGAATGTTTCAAAATTGTAAAGAACAGGCACCTATCCCTCTTTTTCGAGATTTATTCAAAGTTAATCCCACGGTTAGTTCAAGGAGAGGCTCTTTCGTTTTAGAAATTCCAGTTACCTCAAATAAGTTTGTTTATAACTCTTTTCCAATAAGAACTCCCAGAATTTGGAATCGACTCCCCAGAGTTTTGAGAGAGTCCAATAGACTTAAAACCTTTAAATTATCTGTAGATGATCTTGATCTTGATGATCTTGATCTTGAAGCTCTAGTGGATCCTTGACGTTATCTGTGGCTACCCATATATTCCATATATTATATCGTGTTGCTTTTTATCGGCCCTTTTTGTGTTCGGTGCATGAGTTCATGTGTATTAAACTTAAATCTAGCGCACTTTATCTCAGGTCCTGAATAAAGTATCTATATATATATATATGTTGTGTCCGATTTAGATTTCCGTCCGATTTAGATTCAATCTAAATCGGACGTCCGATTTAGATTGAACTTATCGCGGACGTCCGATTTAGATTACAGTCTATATCGGACGTCCGATTTAGACTCAATCTAAATCGGACGTCTTATATAGATTGAACAATAATATAAACATGTTTAATATATGTTCTTAAGCGTTTTCTGTAGTTTTCTGCATTTTTCAAAGGTCTGTTACTGTCTTTTTCTGAAAAGAAAACCCAACTATGAAATAATCAATAAAAGACCTTTGAAAATGCAGAAAACTACAGAAAACGCTTAAGAACATATACTAAACATGTTTATATTATTGTTCAATCTATATAAGACGTCCGATTTAGATTGAGTCGTCCGATATAGACTGTAATCTAAATCGGACGTCCGCGATAAGTTCAATCTAAATCGGACGGAAATCTAAATCGGACACAACATACATATATATATATATATCTATGTCGTAGCCGTTTACGAAATTCAGCCGCTAACGAATGATTCGTTAACGGCTAGCCGATTACGAATCATTCGTTAGCGGCTGAATTTCGTAAACGGCTACGACATACATACTTTATACTTTAAAAACATCTTAATACTCACAAAGTATTAAGATGTTTTTTGATATCTTAAAATTTGATATCTTGATATCTTAAATCATCTTAATACATTTTATGCAAGTCAAAAAAAAAGGAAAAACTTTGGCGGCAAGCGGAATTGAACCAGCGAGAGAAAATGGCGTTGTTTTCGGAGTCTAGCACCCTATCCCGCTGCTTCTGTTGCTTTCGGGCGTGGCGCCCTGTGAGGTGAGGTCGCAGTTTGCCAAAAAAATGCCGAAACTTTGAACACATTTTACTTGAAAACCAGGGCTCATGGGGAGAAAATTAAAAATACTTGTCTCTTAGAATTCTACGGCTTTCTTAGAATTAGAATTTTGTAGCTAGGTTCGTTTTCGAAAATCGGTGATAAGTTGAAGCCGTTCCCCTAGTTAGAATTCCTCAAAACCAACCCTTTGCCCTTGTTGCGGAGCCATGGATTGTCCTCGTTGACCTTTTGCCGAAGCCATCGGATGCGGATGACGGGTTGGCGCCTTGCTTGGCGCACCAACCGGTAAAACCATCGTTGAGATTTAGAACTAAACAAGAGTTTTATAAAGTTAAATATTTGAATTTGAAAAAATAAAGATTGAATAAAGAAAGAAAATAAAGAAAGAAAACATTTCGAATATTATTTTCTTTCAAATGCTTTCAAAATGTTTCAGCGGTATAATAAGCAATTTATATAACAGAAAATGAAAGATCCCAAGCGCAAATATAGAAGCCGATTTCAATTAGACATCCCGCTCAAAAAGGGCTTTTTCACAGCCTTTTCCCCCATCAAAAGAGACTCCTAATTTCTGGAGACTTTGAAAAGCGGCAACTCTAAAGGAGAAAAAAGAAAAGAGTATAAAGAAAACTTGCTTTGAAGGGTCAAAATCTTCTTAATACTTCTAGATTTTAATCCCTTTCAATGAAGTGACAAGAGTTAATGCTATTGAAGGGAAAAGATTGAGAATTGAAGCCATTGATGGGCCATTGATGGCATTGGTGGGCTTGGAAAATGATGACGGATAAGTGAGTCGTGTGTTCGAGAAATTTTTCAACTTTCTCAATAAAAAGGCTCTGCTTAAAGATGATAGATCTGGGCAAAAAAATTTTAGAAAATGAAACAATTGAGTTGAACAAAATGACAATTGATTAAAACAAAATGACAATGAAAAATGAAACAATTGAATTCTCACGCTGTTGCCAGTCAAATACACTAGAATGATCTTCTAGTTTATTTGACTGACAACAAACTGACTGACTGACTGACTGACTGACTGACTGACAAACTGACTGACTGACTGATTACGAAGCGCAATGAATTTTTTCCGAAAAATGAAGTGATTCTAAAAGCTGCATCGTTCCAATTTTCAAAGAAAGTGAACACAGATTTGAGAGCAGCTTTGAAAACTTATCATCAGCCAAAAAAATGGGTACTTACTGTGAACTCTCGGAGGAAACGTCAATGCATGGGAGCCGGAGCAACACTCGAACCAACCCTAAGCCCGAATTGCACCAGAAGAAGTTTATGCTCTCGCTTTTCTCGGATATGGAAATTGAAGTGATCTATTGAAAGTTGCTGGATAGTAAGACAAGACTTAACTCTGCTAAATACACCCAGTTCGATGAACTATCCACAACTCTGGCCACTGGCTTAGGCTTCACAAGTCAAAAATCACCCTCCTACACCCCATGTTTCTTCAATGACTCGGGAAAAGCTAAAGATCATTGGCTGGGGAAGTTCTGGCCCATCCTTCTTATATTGGGTTGGGGAGAATGAGTCGGCGCCGAAAATCAAAAAAATGTCTAAAACTTCTATTCGACTTCGTCAAATAATATGCGTTTGATATCAGTAGAATGGTTAACTAATTCTCTACAAAATGACATTTAAAAGAAAATTCAAACAGCGCCTCCGCTCAAGAAAAAGCCATTTTTTCACAAAAACTACAAACTGTCATCTAGAAAAAACCATTGGTGGGATCTTCCTGCAAATTTGGCAACTTAAGTAATTGAATGTGCTCTATCTTTTTGATATAAACACCAAAGAAGGTTTATGTGAAAGAAACTGTTCAAATGATGAGTCGGACTCTTTGCCATTTTAACCAGCTGCGTTTGGAAGTTCATAAACTCCACGAAAGAAAAGCTTTGTGGAATCTCTCAAAAGTGATTTTGTAGAGAAATAGTGGATCCTTTTGATGAAACCAAACGTATGTTTAAAGAAGGCTTTATGTGTGCAAAAAGTCCCTTTAAAGTTTGGCGCCGACTCATTCTCCCCAACCCAATAGCTCAGACCTTGCTCCATCAGATTATTATTTATTCTGGTCGATGAGAGGTACTTTCTCATTGACCAGAATAAATAATAATCTTTGATCTTCAGACAGACAGACACTCGTTAAAGAGCACTTTGATTCCAAAGATTGGTTCAAAAAGTCAATGACGAACTTTTCCGCCGAGAAATCAAGACTCTTTAACGAGAAGCGAATACGGAGACTGCCAGAAACTATTATCAAAAATAATAGACAATATTTGGATTAATTGAAATTTCTGTTGTTGAATAAATTTGCTTTAAAAGTGTAGCATTTTCAACTTCAACAACCCAATAGAAAATATGCAAATCCAAAAAATAAACCACCAAGATTTTTGACAAAGAGATGTAATCGAAAGGCTGGGCACCTTTTTTTAGAAAGAAGAAGCCCAACAAAGGCGGTGGGGTCTATGAGGGTGGAGGGAATCCCGGGGGAGACTCCGCCACAACGAGGGCAAGAGGTGAAACAACGAGAAAAAAAAACCCCGGCGATTTTTCTGTTCTTCGTCTCGATGAAACCCCGGACAGATCTCCAGCCAAATTAGAGTCGGCTTTTCGCAAATTGAAAAACAAATTCAGCCAGTAATACGTCTAGTAGCCGGCGACTTTTGCGAGCATTTGAATGAGCGCCTGGATTTTTGATATGACCCTGGGGATCGGCTGGGAGGGAAAGCGAAAGAGTTCAGTGCGTTTGTTCTTGTGAAAAGTTCTGAAAAAAAGGAAAATGTTCAAATGTACGATTACTGGACAAGTCATCGGTGATTTCTAAAACATTTCAATAACTTTCTGAGCAAAGTATTAAATTACCTACCGTAAATACTGTAATAGTCCCCACAGCCATAATGACGGCGCGGAGTGTTGCGTAGTCTAGCTTTGGACGAGTTTTTCTCGACACTGGTTTATGCTACAATGCGCGCTTAGGTATCAAAAAATAGCCCTGAATTTCAGCTATTTTTTGATACCTAAGCGCGTATTGTAGCATAAGCCAGTGTCGAGAAAAACTCGTCCAAAGCTAGACCACGAAACACCGTCATTATGGCTGTGGGGACTATTACAGTATTTACGGTAGGTACTTATTGCTTATTGTTATCGAAAAAGAGTAATTTGGAAAGCTGCCGTCATCAATCTTCCAGTTTTTTCCAATCTACTAACATATAAATTCGAATTTGATCTGGATAAATTCGACTGAAAGAGCCATTTAACGAAAAATCAAACTCTGTGACTCAAAATTAAGTAGACACAGAAAAAATCCGAAAGAAAGATTACGACAGCTTTCCAAATTGCTCAGCTTTTCGAAAACGGATTGCTTACAAGAGATGCACTCTAACTCCAGTAGCCTTAGACTTAGCAAAAAGCCGAGCGACCGTCCTCACACCACATTTGAACTGCCCAGCAACTTCTTTTTCCGGTTTTCCCGTTTTTCATTGCTTCAACTAGTACTTCAACTGTACTGGACAATGAAAAATCATATTTGAAAAACGATCGTCACTTTCGCGCGTCTGTAACTCCCTTGTCTTTGAGTTTAAACTATTAGTGTTATACATTTTCTGAAAGCTCTTTTCAAGGGCTACACAATGGTAATATTAATATTTAGAAATACGGACGGTAAAGACAAGGGAGTTATAGACGCGCGAAAGTGACGATCGTTTTACAAATATGATATTTCATTGTCCAGTAGTGTATTACCAAAAATTCAGATTAACCCCCGAAAGCACCCCACAGCACATCGCGCAAAGTGCTGAGGCCAGTCCCCTGCATGGACTCTACGAGAAATTCGGACAGAAAGAAAAGGAAATCGAACGGTGGGAAGATTAGTAGAGTAACTAGTAACAAATTCTACAAAGTATTAGTAACAAGACCATAGATATTCCAATTTTAGACTCGAAAAGCAATCTCGACTACCGGAAGTTCTATCGTGTTGAAAATCATGCAATACCAGTGTACCAGTATCCCATAAAACTAATACCAATCCTACGTACAGTACTGGACAATGAAAAATCATATTTGAAAAACGATCGTCACTTTCACGCGTCTCCGTTGTCTTTGAGTTTAAACTATTAGTGTTATACATTTTCTGAAAGCTCTTTTCAAAGGCTACACAATGGTAATATTCATATTTAGAAATACGGCAAAGAGAAAGGAGTTACAGACGCGCGACAGTGACGATGGTTTTTCAAATATCATATTTCATTGTCCACTAGTGTAGCTTTTCCTTGTCCGGCGTGGTCAAAAACGAACTTCCTGGCATCTAAAAACAAAAATTTAATGCAAATTACCAAAAGAGAACAGAAAATAGAAAGATATGAAGGAAAAAAGTGCAAAATTGAAAAACGCCAAGACTTTTGCGTGTCCATTTTTTTATTTGTCTCCACTTGTTCATTGATTTCTCAAAAATGATAAATTGTTGCTAAATGGGATGTTTTGTTGTCAAAACTAGAGATATCGGGTAACTAAAACCCTTTAAAACTTTCTATGTTACTTGAGAAAATTCGCTGAAAACCTGAAAAGTATTTGCCGGCACTGAACACGCCAAGACTTTTGCGTATGACTTTATATGCTCAATATCTGCGCAAGAATCTGTTCGTGGTTTAATACAGCCAGTGCTCTTGCTCAAAAACCCTCAAAAACTTGCCAAAAAATCTCTGGCAAATCCAGGAACCACCGCGCTAACCAGGTTCCACAAATCTAGTCTCCCCTAGCTCCTCGTTGAAGTCAAATCGCAACTATGCCCTCGCCAATGTGTTGTGTGTGAGTGAGTGTATGAGAGGGGTTTCCCCCCTCGCTTTTCTTCTCCCCAACCTCTTCCCTTTCCCCCCTTATTCCCCAGGGACATCGTGCACTCCATTTTCCCCTCTGTGCACAGCACCGCCTAAGATTTTCGCGCTGCCCCAAAAATCCGCTGGGAGAAATTAGATTTGTAGATTTTTTCCGAGATTCGTCTAGCGTCATCAAAAGTGCAATGTAACAATAAAAGGGTGCAAAGATGAAGTTGGAAAATAACACGGTAAAAGAAAGGCTGGATCTTTTCGACTGGATCTTTTCGACTGGATCTTTTCGACTGGATCTTTTCGACTGGATCTTTTCGACTGGATCTTTTCGACTGGATCTTTTCGACTGGATCTTTTCGACTGGATCTTTTGGACTGGATCTTTTGGACTGGATCTTTTGGACTGGATCTTTTGGACTGGATCTTTTGGACTGGATCTTTTGGACTGCATCTTTTGGACTGCATCTTTTGGACTGCATCTTTTGGACTGCATCTTTTGGACTGCATCTTTTGGACTGCATCTTTTGGACTGTCCCAATCAGGTTTGCAAGCGGAAAAAAAAGTGGAAAATTGAATATCTTTTAATTTTCAAAGAAAATAAAAAGAAAACAAATGGGGCAGCTACGTTTTTCCGGAATTTCCGTCGCATTGCGTAGCTGCCCCATTCGTTGGGTTTTTCTTTGAAAATCAAAAGATATGACATTTTCCGCTTACAAGCTTGATCCCAATTCACAGAAAAAAAGCGATAATCCTAGATAGCTTTAAATCTGTCACTAACGCTAAGCATAAAGCTGATGTAAGCATAACGCTGAACGCTAAGCATAACGCTGATGTAAGCATAACGCTGATGTAAGCATAACGCTGATGTAAGCATAACGCTGATGTAAGCATAACGCTGATGTAAGCATAACGCTGAACGCTAAGCACAATGCTGATGTAAGCATAACGCTGAACTGCTACCGTAACGGACTACTACATTGATTTTAGTATACAGTAACGAGCAACATTATCAATTTATAAAATGAGACGATAATTCTAATTACGGTAGGCGATTTGATAAAACGATAAAACTATTGAAAGCATCAAAACGAGACTTCAGAACAGTTGTTGTTCACACTAGCTTTAGATGGGGCGGATTACTTGACGAGGAGGCGCTGATTGTCAAAAGATTCAACACTCGCTCGAATCCAAAGAATGCCTCCGAATAGGAAGTATCGCTTCGTTGCCCTCTTTCAAATCAACAGCCTCACTTTCTTTATGCAACTTCTTTCGATAAACTTGGTGTTCTTTTGGCTTATTCTTGTCGTATTCTTACTTTAGCAAATTCAGATTGAGTCTGACGTCTTTTAACAAACAAAAATTCAGAACGTGTTTTCAATCTATAAAATTTGATTTCAAAAATATATTTGCAATTACAGTAATAGATACCAACATCCTTTAGGAAGAGGGTATCAAAAAAAATCACATCATATTAAAATATGGAGCTTTCAAGTAAAAAAAGCAAATGAAGAGCAAGTATAAAAAGGAAATACCCATTTCGACGAGCTTGTGTTTTTGAGCAAGAATCCGAGTAAAATCACAAAGAACCTGTAAGTGAGTGGTGGGGGAAAGTAGGTGAAGTGGGCATAAATGAAAATATCGATATACCACTTGAGTGAATTTTAAAAGGGCAATCACAGGTACCACGAGAAAAATGAGCGAGAAACAACTAAAAAATAAAAAGCGAGGCCATACAGACGAGAAAGTAACAAAAATAGCAATCTATAAAATAAAATCGAATCAATTACAAACATACCTAGCAATGCATCTAGACTAACAAGAAAAGCATCGATGGATTGAGCGTTAGTTCAACAAATTAGTTGCCACTGTTCATTAACTAAAGAATATCCTAACAATAAAATATTTGGAAATCCACCAAAAAGACTCGTAATAGTGGCTATCGGGTTTTGTCGGAAAAATAGGAGTTCTATACAACTTAAAAATAACAAGTTTAAAATTTTGTGTAGATTCCTTCATCGATATTCCGTTGCATCGAATCGTCCAACAACGTGTATCCTTTCTCGCCGGCATTCCAGTAAAAAATCGGATCAGCGCCGCATTTCGACAGATCGTAGCCTTGCTTTTGAAGGTCCAGCTTCTTTAACTTGAAAGTACCTAAAGAAGAGGAGGTAAAGATTGCAGAAAAAATGTTACCAAACTGAATAAAAAAGTATAACATAATTAGTTATATTAGTAAGTTACCTGTTTTGTCAACTTCTTTGAGAAAACGGATGAACACCGGAACAGCATAGCTGGCGAGATTCGATGTCAATCGAACGGCGATATCTTTCAAGAATTTCTAAAAACATCGATTTTAAGTCGGATTTGGATTATTTTCATAAATTGATTCTGAAGATAGCCGGTATAATAAAAATTTTTCTTTTATAAATCTACAAATCCCATTTAGCTTACATGTCCAGCTTAAACCTAAGACCAACCTGTTGATCAACGCCATCGCTCAAAACCACACCCGCCATTCCAGCTCGGCCCTCCATTTTCCCAATCTGAGTACACATTATAAAAATAATTTTTTTGCACAAAATCTTACTTGTACTCCGTAAACAGTCGCATCGGCCACCTCCATAACTGGTTGCAAGATTCCCTCGACTTCTGTGGTGGACACGTTTTCACCTTTCCATCTAAAAAGAGGCAAAAATTATTTTATTAAAAATATATGTAATGTAAATAGGGAAATTGTGATTTTAAAAATAATTTGTTTGCCAATAGTTAAAAATTTACCTGAATGTATCTCCTCGTCGATCCCGGAAATACAAGTAGCCCAAATTGTCCCAATGGAGAATGTCACCCGACGCAAATACTTGATCGCCTTTCTTGATCACATCTCGATAGATCTTCTTTGCCGTGTCACCCTTGTTAACGTATCTAAAAAGAACCGAAAATGATTAAACATCTCTAAATTGTACCCTTCAAATTTCAGCAATGTGTCATCATTCTTGATCACTCCGATCATCTCACCAGTGTCGCCGGGACGGCACGAAACACAAAGGCCATCCTAAACAATTGCCAAGTAATTTGATGTTGATATCCAATTGTCGTTAAAGTGCCCATAAGTTTGAAAGTTTACTCACCGGTCCTCGAACAAGCTCGCCCGTCTGCTCGTCAACTTTGATGAGACGCACTGGGTAGAGTTGGCTAATGTGTGGGTAGATCGGGAAGAAACCACAGGAGCCGACATGGTTGTCGACGTTCACTAAAATTTGTAAAATTAAATGATGCTATAGTAGTCGGGAGTGAAGCAACATTTTTTGGTCAAATGAGCTGATTTTTTGCACCCAGGGGTTTTTGACTATGCTGAATCGATTGGTGATGGTTTCACACAACATTCAAGGCTACTTACAGATAAAACTAGCGTCATTGGAAAAACGAGTTTCGACCTGTAAGGAAAGTTCTATAAAAGAGCAAACGCATGTGCGTTTCTTATTTCTTGAATTAACGTTGTTTGCTTCCAGAATGGTCGCTGCCGCTTCTAGGCTGAATTTGCGCAATTTCAACTTGCTAACAGAATGGTCAAGACTCGCTGTGAATGTTGTGTGAAATCATCACCAATGGATTCAGCATCGTCAAAAACCCCTGGGTGCAAAAAAATTAGCTCATTTGGCCAAAAAATTTTGTTTCCATCCCGACTATTATAGCCCCAATTAAATATTTAAACAATAAAAGACTAAAAAACGTAACGAACCAATATTTGAATTTCCCTCAGTCGATCCATACAACTCTCCGATTCTCTTGATTTCGAAGCGATCCACAAATTGTTTCCAGATTTCGGGTCGAAGGCCATTACCCCACATCACTCGGACTCGGTGCTGTTTTTCTTCTTTCGACTCAGGTTGTGCCAAGAGGTATCTAAAATGTAAAGCTATAAATGACCATGATCCTCCTCATTTGCTTTAAAAGTTAAATAAAGCTTTACTAAAAACAATTACCTGCAAATTTCTCCAATATATTGGCTGGCCGTGCAATCGTATTTTGCACAATCCTTCCAGAAATTCGACGCAGAGAATTTCTTTCGAATGATGGCTGTAGTTCCGGCAACAATAACGCTTCCGATTCCCATAATTCCTAAACAATCAAACTTGAATAACAGCTAGAAAACTAAAACAAACCAGCGGCACTGTGGTACAAAGGCATCGTGATGTACACTCGATCCTTCGGCTCAATTCCAAAAGCCCGTTGAGCACCCATTGCTATCCAGAAGTATCTAAATTTTGTGGATACGTTTAGTTTTTTAATAATGATAAACCTGAAGTGTTTGATCACTGCTGGCTTTGGATTTCCCGTTGTTCCCGAAGTGTAGATGTAGCACAAAACATCTAAAATGCAGGTGATAATAGCAAAAGTTAAAAATTGTTCCGTTACACTATTCCATAATTATTTATTTTATTTCTTAAAATTTACTTGTAAACTTGACTCCTTTGTTTGGTGGTTCTTGTTCGGAGACGACTTTTTCCTTGATCTCTTTGTTGAGTGAAGTAAACTCGTCTTGATCCTCACCATCGATTAGCATAATCTTCGTGTCATTTGGTAGCAAGTCTTTGGCTATCGCAGCTTTCAGTGCTAAAACAGATTAAGTTTGTTTTCAAGCTAATTTAAGCTTAAAGCTAATCTGCAATTCTTCAATGATTGAAGTTTTTATTTTAATACTGAAGACGATTTATCGATTTGATTAACGTTTCTCGAATTTATCAAAAACCGAACACTCACTTGGCAAAAGTGCTGTCGAAGTGATGACACATCGGCTGTTTGCAACACGAATCGAATGTGCCAGTGGCTCGAGCTTGAGGTTGGAGTTGATAAACGCTGACACGACACCAATCTAGACAATAGTAAATGCAGTGATTTTAAAAGTTTTTTCTAGGTTTGAAACAGTAACAATGTACTTCTCAACTAAGTTTAGTTGCTTAATTTAAATACGAAGCTCCACCTTTGAGAGTCCTAGCCAAACCGCAAAGAAGTCAATGCTGTTTTCGAGGAAAAGTGAAACAACATCTCCGTTGTTGTATTCTTCAGCCTAAAAGAGTGCGATTATTGATGATTATTTTACTATAGGTAACATTTTACAAAAACTTACATCAAAGTAATTGGCGTACTGATTGACTAGTCTATTCAACTCCTCGAACGTCAGCGTTCGACCTGTCTCAACTTCAGCGACAGCTGGTTTTCTCGGATGAGCAGCTACCTGAATTAAAGATGAAATCAAAAACTTTGAACTAATTATAAAACCTTTTCCAAGAAGACTTTGTGAAGTGGCTCGTTTTGTGCAAGGCGTCGTTTGATTTCTCTCTTGACGGTGATGAGAAGGAAGAGTCCCCTAAAAAAAATCAAATACGTAAACAAATATTCAGGGAGTGGGACAAATGCGACCTTTTTTTGCGCACCTGATCATTTGCGCACCTTTTTTTGCTGGAAAAGGCTTCAGGAAAGGCCATAGAGCTTCAAAAATGTTTCAATATAATGGAGCCGTATGCGTAGATTCGAAATTTCGACAAATCAGACCTCGCTGACACGTCAAATTTGGACTAAAAGGCAAAAACTACGCAACTTCACGCTTTTCCCCAAATTTGACGTAACAGCGAGGTCTGATTTGTCGAAATTCGGAATCTACGCATACGATTCCCTTATATGAAAAGATTTTTGAAGCGCTACGGCCTTTCCTAAGGCCTTTTCCAACTAAAAAAAAGGTCGCACTTGTCCCACTCCCAATATTCAAACACTTTGACGGTAGTCAGACCCAAATAAAAACACCAATAAGCCTAAAGTTAAAACCAACTTGAGATCTCGTCGTATCGTGGCGCGAATCCGTTGAAAGAAATCGGTGAGCCATATTCGATAGCCGACAAATAAGCAGAAAAGTGTGAGCCACCAATTTCTAAACAAAAACGGGTTATAAAGCAAGAAACTTTTTAGGTAGATAAATATTGCAATTTTTAGATTATTTCAAAAGAGCAAGCTTGTCTAAAACTTCCATAAAGTATTAGTGTTTAGCTAATAATTGCAAAATACGATAAGCACGGCTAAATTGTGAGGCGAACACCGCACTTTTTATGGTGTTTTACCATAAAGAATGCTGTGTTACTGAAAAATGTCTAAACCAAACCTTAAACAAATGATGAATGCGAGGGGAATAGTAAACCCCATTGCTAGCATGCTGATTTAACCCGACGCGGAAAGAATGACTTTGTTTGTAAAGCGTATGCTTTCATACTTGAATAGTACATGTAATTTCTTTAGCTATTTCTGCAATTTCTTTCGCCATTTCTCTGATTTTCGTTTAATCCAAATTTCCATCATTTACACTTTTTTGTAATTTGTATGTTTTGCAATACAAAACCTTTTAACAACCTCAACAACAAAACCTCAACTCTCACCTTCCCAGCAGAAGCATCAACACGGCGAAGAAGCCGATTCGTATCAACGCCCTTCTCGGTGTGTCATCCATCCTGAAATCCGTAAAATTTACGAATATTTGGTGAATATTTGAAATAAAGTCTATAAAGTGGAAAGGTTAATATTGTGAAAGTGGAAAGGTTAATATGGAATCGGGCAGGAGCGATGAGTGATAAGGATTGAGAATTTTGCAGACACACTCTTTTCCATAAAAGCCCAATGGGGAGGAGGACTATCTGATAACGCTACACATTGAGGGAAAAAACAAAAAAAAAGACTCTGAGAAAAGTGGATCAAAGTACGGAAAATATTGATGGTACAGAGGATACAGAGGATACAAAGTTTACAAAGTCAAAAAGTTACAGAATTGGATTAGAAAGATTGGGGATTGGGGATTTTACCTAAAGTTTTGTTAAAACAAAACTGTTTGGGGTTGGTTGCTGTGTTGCTTAGGCTTTACATTTAATTGAATGAATCAAAATGAAAACGTTAAAGTTGTTGGAAAAAAAATGATTATGAAAGTCATATCTAACTTAAATTTGGAACCTAAAACAGTTGGAACGGGGTAGGCTAGTTTCCGCAACCTTTTTTGCGCAACAGGGTTATTTGCGCAACTCGCCAAAACTTTCTTCTAAGTGGACCAATCTTTGCGAATTTGGTTTCATTTTGGTGCACTTATTGAGATCTACAAAATGAAATCAAAATCATAAAGATTGGCCGAATTAGAAGAAAGTTATGGCGAGTTGCGCAAAAGACCTAGTTGCGCAAATGACCCTGTTGCGCAAAAAATTTGGCGCAAAGTAGCCTACCCCGTTGGAACTTAAGAAAGAGATTTCGAGAAAAACTAGTGTTAAAAATCTCCATTGTCACCTCTTCAACTTCTCAAAACTCCAGAAATTTGTTTTGAAAACCAAAATTTGTTTGTTTTGTTTGTTTTTTTTTTGTTATTTTTGGTGGTGACAGAGCGTAGCAACGAGGATTCATGGATCACTAGAAAAACGGGAAAAAGAAAGGAAAAGGGAAAGCACTCCAAGAATGGGAATGAGAAATCGATCAAAGACGTTGAAATGTAAATTCAGAAGACTCTTACTCTTGCTTTTGCTCTTACAAAAGGTTTTAGAAAGCTAGAGCACATCATGATTCATTATCGGAACAAAATTTTCCTTCAAAGAACTTTCTTTCAAACATATTATTTGAAAAACGTAAAGTAGCATGTATTAACAGTAATAATATAGTCTATATTTTAACTTCAAAAAGAAAGAGAGAGTTCAAAGCATTTGAAGCATTTGTGCGAAAGAAAAGCAGCAAAGAAAAGGAGCGATTTTACGAAGAAGCCCTTGGTATGCAAATGTTGGAAAAGTTGAAAAAGGGGAGTAAAGGAAAAGAAGGGAAGGGGAACGTCTTTCTGTCTTTTGTGATCCATTTTCTTTCTCTTCTTCACTCCGACAAACAGTCACCACAATCGCTTCTCGTCCCTTTCCTTTTCCTTTTGTTCCTTTCCCCCCTCTCCACTTTGATCAAAACGGTTGGCTTCTTTTCAAGGAAAAGATCAGGAAAGATTTCGAATTTGATGGGAAAATGTGAAGCCAAGCAATGGTGCTAGAGTCAAGGATTTCTTTTTCAAAGTGAAACGTAAAATTTACAAGGGAAGGTCACGAGGGTGATGTGGAGATAGGAAATGACACCTAGACAATCGGATGCAACGAACTAGACCAAATTTTTCGCTGATTCCGATGCAAAATGACGCACAATTGCGAGGAATCTGGCAAAAACATTTTTGTCATATATTCTTAAGGACTTTCGTAAGGTAAGAGGCAGAATTGTAGAGAGCTCTAGCGGTGGCAGAATGGTAGAGAGCTCCAGTGGTGGCAGAATGGTAGAGAGCTCTAGCGGTGGCAGAATGGTAGAGAGCTCCAGCGGTGGCAGAATGGTAGAGTGCTCGCATACGAGTCTGCTCGCATTACTCGCAGGTTTGAACCCCCTTTCTCTTGTTTTTTTTTGGAAAACCCCTTTTAGATCAACCTAAGCAATCTCCTTCCTCAATTTCTGGTCAAAAAAATCAACTTTTCAAAGAATTTGTACCAAAATAACAAAATTAACATAGAACAAATCAAAAAAACATGAGAATCGTTCTTTTAATCGTCCTTTTAGTCGTTCTTTTAGTCGTTCTTTTAGTCATTCTTTTAGTTCTTTTAGAACAATTGTTCTTTTAGTTCTTTTAGTTCTTTTAGAATTGTTATGATAACCAAAAAATAAACTTTTCTGTAGAAAGTTTTGGAAACGATGAATGAGTGATGAAAGCTGGTAGGTTTCGGAATTGGGAAAAAGGAGAAAGGGATGTCTTGTCTGATTCAACTCAACAATGCCTCACTGGAGATTGGTTTTGATTCAAAGATTTTGAGTCAAAGTACAAAGTCGAATTGAAGCTAATAAACGAATAATAAATGAAGCTAATAAATGAAGCTAATAAAATCTTATCGAGATAATGATTTATGGGAAAATAAACAACAGTCTAAGTTTTATTAGTTAAAACTATTAGCTTATTAGCTTCTTCTTAGGTAAGCTCTAACATCTTCAGCTCTAACATCTTCAGCTCTTACATCTTCAGCTCTAACATCCTCAGCTCTAACTTCTTCAGCTCTAACATTTAGTCTAATCAATAATCACTCTAATCCATTCAAAATCCCTACTCAAAATACAAAAAGTAGCTTTTTTTGTACCTTTTTTTGTACTTTATAAGTTTTCTTATAAAGTTTGACTGTAGAAAAAGTTTTGAATGGTTCAAAAAGCCAATGGAAAATTATAATAGCTTCAAATTCGCATTTTGACCTTTCCAAGCCACCAAAGAGAAGCTTTATTTAGTGAAAGTGATTGAGCAAAATGGAAAATTGATAAATGAGAGAAAAATGCCATAAAAGAGCTTTCAATTTCTTCATATCAGCTGGAAAGAAGTACCCCAATCGATTCAATCACTCATTCTTCACCAAAACTTTCCAAGGTCATCACTTTCCCCAAACAACATCAACACTTTCTGTTTCGATTTTGGATGATAATGAAGCTTTGAAGGAAGGTGTACGGGAAAAAAAGTACGGGAAAAAAAGTACGGGAAAAAAAGTACGGGAAAAAAAGTACGGGAAAAAAAGTACGGGAAAAAAGTACGGGAAAAAGGTCTAGAAAGGTTTCGCAAAGTTTTATTAGCTTTATAAGAGAATTTAGGTGATCAAGAAACTTCGGAAGCTACAGCTTGTACTGTTTGTAACTGTACTGTTTTTGTGAAGCTATACTTTTGCACTCTGAAATGAATGAGCACACTTCTTCTGGCACACTCAAATTTTCAATTTTCCTTAAATAAAGATTGTATAAGGAGATGAAAAGCATTGGTGTGTTAGAAAAAGTGTTTGTATTGTTAAACAGTACCTGTATACTGTAATAGTACTGTAATAATACTGTAATAGTACTGTAATAGTACTGTGATAGTACTGCAATAGTACTGTAATAGTACTGTAATAGTACCCCACCCCCCACGTACAGTCGGGTAGTCGCAAAATTTTTTTAGTATTTCATTTTTTGCAAAGCACCCGTACTTTCAAAAAATGCGTCTTTGGCATCAAAAAATAGCCCTGAATTTCAGCTATTTTTTGATACCCAAGCGCGTATTTTAGCATAAACCAGTGTCAAGAAAAACGCGCCCAAAGCTAGCCTACGCAACACTCCGCACCGTCATTATGGCTGTGGGGACTAAAAAAAAAATAAGGCTTCTAGTAAGGATAAGCCGATCTAGCTAGTTCAAGCCCAAACAAGACGGACAGGTCTTGTGGCATTGAAGAAATTAAGAGAGAAAAATTAAAAATTGAATGGCACCATGGGGGCTCGAACCCGGGTGTGCGCGGGGGGGGAGGAGACCTAGAGACAACCGTGCTCCCGACTGCACCACGGCAACATGAAGACCCGCCAGAAAAACCCGCTGTTATGCGGGGCGGCGGGAAAAACCCATTGTTACTCGCCGCGTATTTCAGGCTCGTAGAATTCTAATAAAATTATAATTTTTTTACGACTGGTAAAAATAAATCTAAATCTGCCAATGATAAATTCTGGATTTATCATTGACAAAACAGCATTTTTATACAGCAATCTCATCTTTGACAACTATCGAGTAAATGACTCACCTGATTGTCATCGAATAAATATCAATCAGTGTCATTGAATATTTAGAATTCGAGCCTAAATTCGAGCCTAAATTCGAGTCTATTGAAAAGATCTTTTTTGGGGAAAAGTGAAATGAAATGATCGATTTTCCAGACGATTTTCTAGTCTATCTATCTATCCGAAAATTCTTTATCAAAAAAATTGCAACTTCCACAACATTTTCCTTCAATAAAAACAAATGATTGACGCGAGGAGATCTTTGAAAAAGATTAGCATTTTTGAAAACCAATTGAAAATTTTCGAAATTTGTAATCCAAAAAAAAATTAAACAAATTAAAATCAAAAAGTATCGATTTTGGATTGGATCGATTTTGATTCAAAAGATTTCGAATTTCCGGGGGTGGGACAAATGCGACCTTCTTTTTGCGCACCCGGACATTTGCGCACCTTTTTTTGCTGGAAAAGGGCTTAGGAAAGGTCGTAGAGCTTCAAAAATGTTTTCATAGAAGGGAATCGTATGCGTAGATTCAGAATTTTGACAAATCAGACCTCGCTGACACGTCAAATTTGGGCTAAAAGGCAAAAACTGCGGAAAAGCGTTAAGTTGCATAGTTTTTGCCTTTTAGCCCAAATTTGACGTGTCAGCGAGGTCTGATTTGTCAAAATTCTGAATCTACGCATACGATTCCCTTCTATGAAAACATTTTTGAAGCTCTACGACCATTCCTAATGCCTTTTTCCAGCAAAAAAAGGTGCGCAAATGTCCAGGTGCGCAAAAAAATCGCATTTGTCCCACCCCCGAATTTCTAGAAAACAAATGTGAATTGAGGGGAAAATTGGGAAGAAAATGAGAAGATAACCTTTTTCGCTAAAAGCATTTAAAAGAAAAGTGATCGTCAAAAAAAA